TAAATGTCACACTCTAATTGTCTTAATGGACTGTCTTGACCTAAAACAAACAGATTTCAGGTCAGCTTGAATGAGGACATGAGAGCTGCAACAAAACAGTAAACAGAAATGTGTTAGACATAACACACATCTGATGCAGGGCTAGCGCAGACACAGCGGGGTCACTAGTGTTTCTTGTTAGTGTTCCAGGAGGATTTCTCAAGTGTGCAAATCCATACTTTTTGCTCAGATGTTGACAAATGCTACAAAAGTGATCAGGTGGCACTTCACAGTGCAACCCAAGAATTTCACAATTTTTCAGGTGTTAGGTCAGTCACCTGGTCTCAACAAATTCACTCTACACATATATGCAATGGCGTTACTGCAGCAGGGTGTGATCACACAGAGGGTGAAAGGGTGGCCTACGAGGTAATTGGGAAGGGAGTCAACCCCCCACAAGATTGCCAGGCACTCTTCTTCTGCAGTGCTTTACCAGGCTTCATACACCACAGGTTCATCAACCTCCCTTACCTGCTAAGACAAAACAGCCTCCAGCCAATTTTCAAGGCATACGATTTAGGAGTGTGGGGCATGGGTTTCCCCCTTCTTCCCCTGCATGAATGCTGCCCGGGGCTTTCGACTGGAGCAGATGGGGCACCGTTTCAGGTGAGGTCAGTTAAGGGGCTGGTCAGCTAGGTCAGCTAGGTCTTCAGATGTGGGCAGGAAGTGATAGTTGTTGTTTTCTCCATTCGTTCATTCCATTCCCTTATCCAGCCAACCCCGCCCTTCTTTGGGGACTCTGGCCAACTGCTGCATATGCTCGGCCCAGGTATCACTATGGGTGATGATGTCTGCAGCCTACGGATGCAGAACCTGGTCCATGTGGCTGGGGCTACAAACGAGCTGAACAGAATTGCAACAAATTGGTACAAACCGCACTGAGTGGAGGCTGCTTTTCCCCTTGACTCTGGAGACAAGGGAATCTGCCAGTAGCCATTGGTCAACTCCAGTGCTGTGAAAAAACGAGCAGTGCCTAACTGGTCCAGGAGATTGTCCTGTCCAAATAGAACAAAACACTTTCCCGATGATATTCTAATTATAACTCAGAAAATCATTTTGTTAAAAATGTGCACATTTTTCATTGTGAAGACCTCCTTACTATTCTGAGACCGTGTCCCCTGGAACATTCTGATAATTAAGGTAAAAATTAAAAATAAGATATTCTCAGTTATAAACAGAATATATTTATAAGACGGCTTGAAGATGTTTTCTTCCATATTTCATTTAGTTAGTACTCAGACATGTAATGTATCTGTCCAGAATGATAGATTCTGATTCATGGTGATGATAAGAAAGACCAGTGAAAACTTCATCCTTTTAACTTTTAATTTGATATATTCATCTTCAAACACTGGCTCAGAGTTAATGTGAAAAAAGGGACCTGAAAGTCGGTTTGATGAGTCTTTAAAAAAAGAAAAGAAAAATGATTTGACATCGAAAGTTAAAATTTAGCAGTAATCGTTATATATGCCTCATAAAAGTTTTGGGCACATCTGAGATGGTTTAACAGAAAATGTTCTAAAAATCTGATGATTTGAAACGGACCATTTATGTGGTGAACATGGACAGCGGTAACGTGTTAATGAGCTAGCCGCGCAAACGCGTTGACACCGTGCAGGCATTAATGCGGTTATGGCATTATTGTCATTTGGCCTGTGGCCTGTATTTGTAAAGCGCTTTTCTAGTCCCTAAGGACCCCAAAGCGCTTTACACAACCTGTCATCACAACATTCACACACTGGTGATGGCAGCTACATTTAAACGAGATCAACACTGACAGCAGTATTAATTATACTACATTTTGAAATTCCATAATATATTATTCATAAATTGTACCTAACTGCAATGTAATTAATTTGTTTTTGTGGTGTGTGTGTGAACGTGAGTGCGTGTATCTCTCTGTGTTAGCCCAGTGCCACACTGTGGATGTGTCCAGGGTGGACAGTTTGCCAGTGCCATATCAAGCAAAGAAAATTAGATTTTTCATTTTTATTAACGAGCCAATACTCAGATATTGATGTATCTGTCCCAAATTACAGATTCTGAATTATTTTGATGGTAAAAAAGGCGAGTGAAAGTTCAAGCTTTTATCTGTATTAGTTTTTGAGATATGAGCTATTACACTTCATATAATATATTAAGCTTAAATTTTACAGCACCCATTTATCTGTTTGAACTTTGGACCAAAAACATTTCATGCAAACAGGTGAGCAAGACTAGTTTTGATCTTTTGTGTCCTGACAGCTTTGCAAGCAGAATTGCATCTGAATGCACTCTTCAGTCAAACTCATTTGCACAGTGAGAAATAATGTGATTGTATTATTGCCTATAAAGTAAATGCCATCCCTAGGATTCTCAGACCATATCATGGTTCACTTTATCCCTGCATACAGGCAGAAAGTAAAACTTTCTAAACCTGTATTGAAGAAATCTAAGTACTGGATTAATGAATCTGCAGGCATGTCTGGACTACACTGACGGGGACGTTTTCAGGACTGCTACCAACTATTTGGACACGTATACAGACTGTGACGTCCTACATCAGCATCTGTGAGGACAGCTGCATCATGCATCACCATCACACACCAGGGTGAGTTATAATATTGACAAGCCCTGGTTCACAGCTAAGCTAACGAGGCTAGGGCTGGAGAAGGAGAGAGCGTTTCAGAGTGGGGACAGAAACAGCCCAGAAAACAATACCTAATAACATAAGAATAATTTCTTTCCCAGGCTGTCGGGCTGCTCAACAACCTCCACTCAGCTCAGTTCACATGTTTCACTAAGACACTTACTTACTGAGGCTATAGAAATTTACTGGATTGAGGAACAACACTTTACACTACACACAGTGAGTCGCAGCAAGAGGAAATCCTGCTTCTCTGATGGCTTTGTTTCTTTAAGTATAGTATTTCACACTCTTGGTGTCAGAAAGACCTTGCTGGCTAGAGCAAAAGAAACTGAAACCCACGTGTGTCCAAGTGGAATTTCAGAAAAATGTGCAAGTCTAAAAAGAAACTCTAGCTAGGGGTTTGAGTTAATGCCTTGTGGTTATCTCAGTAAAACATAGATGACTTATTCTAGCTGTCGTTCCTTCACTTCCTGATGATTATTGTAGCTGATTTTCATTTCACTGTCAAGTGTTCTTTAAAAATATCATATTCAGAAAAGAAGAAGAACAAAACAAAAGAGTTTCTTTATAAACGCTTGGTGGAACTGAAAGCTTGTTGAAGCTGTAACATATAAATGATGGCTGTAGCTTCTGGCTCTCAAAGTAAACCCAGCACATATGTACCTTAAACCTGGATTTTTTGATGGCCACCAGGACATGGTAAATGGACTGGTTCTTCTATAGCGCTTTTCTACCACAAGGGCTGGACTTTTGATAGTATTAATTGAAATGCACTATCTAGAGGTACGCTCATATATCCAAGTATGCTCACGGGCCTATAACTTAAGATTGATAAGTTGCTGCCTCACGTGTGTGCTTTGACAGTGATATTAACCACTTGTTGTTACAGAGGCCTTCGAAACACTGTGATAGTTAGGAGGCTTTCAAACCAATGGGGTCAGAAAATCCACCTTTTTTGTCTTTTTTGCTTGAAGCCAAAGCCAGAAGACTTTGATTAATCACACTGTGTGGTTATTATGATCACACTGTGATAACAAAAGTAAAAACATAATGCACTATTACTGTTAAATACTGATTATAGACAGAGTGATGAAAATAAAATCAGTGGATTATATAGAAATGTGGGTCTTTGAGAGTTCCTTTAATGGAGAATACTGGGTTGAACTACAGATAGTTTGAGGCGACCAGTCATTCATTAAACACTGCTTTGTATTTTAGTCTTTTGATTTAAAATTATTTAGTCCAGGTCAATGCTGCAATTTGTGCCCTAGGGACAGTCAGGAGCTACTCATGGCCTTGATTGCAGAGACACTTGTCTCCACAATCATGGACAAGCATCAGCTAACAGAATATGTGAACTCTGGGCTTACCAGCTCATTAATATCTCAGGGTGTGACAGGACTGAGAGGAACGCAGTGAAGGGCTTCCAACCAGCTCCAGGAAGCTGGAGAAACAAGCAGGAGTTTTATGGCTTATAACCACTGATCTTGACCTAAGGTTCACACACACACACACACACACACACACACACACACACACACACACACACACACACACACACACACACACACACACACTTTCCTCCTGCGCCCTGAACATGGGACACATCAACAGGACTGAAGATCAGTCAGAGCAAAGGCCAAGTCTAGCCCCTTGCGTGTCTTCCGGGTTCTTTTCTTGCTTGTAAAGGGAGAAAAGCATTCTTAAGATAAAAAGCCTTTCCTAGTAGTGATGGGATTTCCGGCTCTTTTTAGAGAACCGGCTCTTTCAGCTCAGCTAACTAAAAAGAGCCGGCTCTTTCGGCTCCCAACCGGCTCTTCAGATTGTTTTGTTGCTTTAATAAATTTATTATCATCAACAATATAAAATTATGCACAAAATGAATTACGAATGTAAAAAAACGCCGTGGTTTTATTTATATATGTTTATATATAAATATATAGGGTGGCCCCTAGAGACAAAACAGAGAGAGACAGAGAGCCAAAGACAACAACAAGAGACAACATCGTCACATTAGAAAGGTTGGAGGATTCATGTGCTTTGGAGTTTGTACGTGCTTTGCCTCTGGGGGCCACCATAAGTATACTTTTATTTATTCACTCCACATAAAATGTAATAAATAAACTATAAAATACAAAAACCAAATATTGACATTTCAACTTTTAACTATTTAAATTTTCAGCTTTGGATGGGTTCTTTTATATTTTAAAAGAAGAATATTGAGTCTAATAATAAATCAAATGCTGATTGAGCACTAAATCAGATAAAAAGTCTGAGAAATCAGACAGAAACTCTGAGTAAAGATAACAGATAACAACAAATATAACAGGTTTTGGAGCTTTCTAGCTAAGCTAAGCATCAGATTTTTAAATGAATTAAAACTCTGTCTGGGTCTTTGGTTCATTAATGAGCTGGAGTGGAAGATTGCTGCCACATGCCGTCCTTGGCCTCTGTTTTAGGGATTCTGACAATTAGTATGACTCGGGGGTGTTGATTAATTTAAACTAACTAGGCTGTAACCAGTTTATCTAATTCAGAGTAAATCAATTTGTTGATCAGTTATTAATTTGTGTACTTACTGGGACTTAGAAGACAGAGATCTAATGTTTAATCATCCAAATCCAAAATGTTTTGTGGTGTTTAATAAATTTGGCCAGATTTCTAGATTTGGGATCGAGCAGCTCTGCTAAGAAGACCAGAAAGTGTCTAGCTTGATCTATATAGCCAACATCCTCTTTTGTAAGCTATAAGACCTCTGGTTGGGTCATCAGCTGGCCAGACTGTCCCTCCGCTTAAAGGCTGAGTAGCTGCCTGTGTAGCAGATGTGAAATGGTCGACTGCGTTGTGACAACAGACACGGACTGGCTGGAAACAGGGTTTATTCCTATAAAACAGAGTGCAGCAGCAAAATCAGTGTCACACAGTGGCAGCAGGCTTCTCCTCACCCAGTGTGGAGTCCGTACAGCTCTGCTTGCATCATATAAAAGAAAATACAAATTATCAAAATAATAATTTTCACAACCGCCACTTCAAAATCAAATATTACAGTGGGGTAAAACAGAGACAATTATGGAATCACTAACAATAACGTATAACATTCAAATTCCCATTAAAATAGGTCAATTGCATAATACATATTCAAACAACTTTTTAACTCTTCCCAACATGGCTGAAGATACTGCTCAGAGCACAGCCTCGGGACATGAGCTCATTATACACATAAAACAAAAACTACACATTTACACATACCTATAAAACAGAGTGCAGCAGCAAAATCAGTGTCACACAGCGGCAGCAGGCTTCTCCTCACCCTGTTTAACACAAGTCAGTTCCACATAAACGGATGATATAACAGATAAAGCGCAGTTCCAAATATCATTTTTCTCACTCAAAGCGATTGAAAACACTTTGAGAGCTTTTAACCCTAGGAGCCAATACTTAACAAAGACAAATACACCGAATTTATATGGATAATTTAGTACAGGGAGAAGAGCTACAGAAAGCGTGCCTCACCAGTGTGGAGTCCGTACAGCTCTGGCTAGGAAACCCCACACCCGCAATGTGGCCGCAGGTGGCGTTACACTGATTAATGTCCCACTTCAACAATAACACACGGAACCTTAGTTCCACAAAAATAAAGTTCACACAATAAAAAAGTATAACCTATGTACAATACAGTTTTGAGAATGTTCACAATTCGTACATTATATCTCAGCTACATACTCCCCCCTGAACTTCTCAAAACCCGTTAGGTAAGGGTGAGCAACTGAGCGTCGCATATAACAATTCGTAGCTGTCAGTGATCTGGAAATTCACTACCCGGTGATACGTGCAACAAATATGGTTCCCAACTCATGGGGAAAGTAAACAGAAGAAAGTTGGCCAGACCCCCTAATGTTTACTCGCAAGAGAAAGTGCCTTATACACTATCCTGAACAAACAACACGGTAACAGCTACTATATGATGAATAGTACTCTGAGCTGAAGACAATCTCAAAATAGGTGTTAACATCTGACATGAAAATCACCCAACATATAAAACAAGTAGCCCTCACAGAAACAAGTTCTTGGCAAAGCTGCTCACTACATTGCCTGTTTGTAGGTTTCTTTGCTTCATAGTCTGGATTAACCTATTCACAGGCTTCACTATTCGACCCACTCTCGTCCTGATCTGGCCTGCTGCATTACTTGGGGGTACACCACCATGTTTCACGAGGCTCCCAACCTCGCTGACTGGCTGACTTTCAGGGTAACTGATACTTGGTAGTGTTCCCTCCTCAACTGGGGTAGTGCAAGCCCTGCTGTTGTTGTCATCATCTACTTCAGGGTAAGCAGCTACTTCACTACTGGCACTGTCACTGTCCTGATGCTCCTCATCATCCAACTGCGCACAGACACTGTCTCCAATACTGTCACACTCTTGGGGTCCTCTAGGAGCCGGGACACAGTCATCCGTCATCTGAGCCACCCAACGGGCTGTGCGTTCAGTACAATCGTCCTCAGGATCAGCGACAGGGGATTCTCCATCAGATTGACTCTGCTCCTGGCCGAGTTCTGATTCACTGGCAAAAGACATCTCTGGTTCGCCCTCGGACTCTATGGGCAGGAAATTAGCCTGCAAAAGCAAGTTCCTATGGACAACTTTCTCCTGTCCACTCTTGACGTTCCTGATGCGATACATGTGGCATGTGGGGTTCTTGGAGATCACAGTGTAGATGGTCGACTCCCACCTATCAGCTAACTTCCTACGACCCCGTTCGCCCTTGTTTGCCAAAAGGACACGATCTCCTTCCTCAATGTCAACACCTTTCTGCTTTTTGTTGTACAGGTCTGCTTGATGCTGCTGACTAGCTCCGGTGTTAGTCTGGGCCAATGCGAGTGCTTCTCTGAGGTCATCTCTCATCCTTTTTACATAACTGTCATAGTCTGTTACATCATTGTCCCTTGCAACATTGTGAAACATGACATCCACTGGTAACCTGGGGATACGCCCGTACATTAGGAAGAACGGTGCGTAACCAGTGGACTCATGAGCGGTGCAGTTGTAGACAAAGGTCAGTGTCTGCAACATCTGAGGCCACTTGTGCTTCTCCCTCGGAGGTAGGGCTCTGATCATATTTCCCAAGGTCCTGTTAAACCTTTCGGTGTGACCGTTACCCATAGGGTGGTAAGGTGTCGTTCTTGACTTCTGCACCCCGGCCACTTGCAGCAGCTCTTGGATCAACTCACTCTCAAAATTGGCGCCCTGGTCTGAATGGATCCTTTGAGGGAAGCCATAGACACAGAAATATCTGTCCCACAACTGGCGCGCAACTTGTTTTGCCGTCTGATCTGAGCACTGGAAAGCATGGGCCATCTTGGTGAAATGGTCAGTCACTACTAGAACATCCACACTCTTGCCCCTGTGATCCTCTGCGGACCAGAAGTCTATGCAGACGAGCTCAAGAGGACCGGTAGTTTTAATGCTTTCAAGAGGAGCCCTCCCCTCAGGCTCGAGTGTTTTGCTGACAACACAACGTTTACAGCACTTGACATGCTCGCGAATGTCATGCTCCATGTTGATCCAGAAAAATCTCTGCCTGGCTAGGTACAGAGTTCTGCTTTGGCCATGATGGCCAGCATCATCATGGACACCTGACAGGACTTGACTGATTAATGTGGATGGGGTCACGTACTGATGGCGCTTTTTGCCAGTGAGCAGGTCTTTGCTCACTCTGTACAGGATACCATCCAACACTTTCAACTTTTCCCACTGTTTCATCGTCTTTTGCGCTCTGTGCGACAGGTGAGCTCTTTCTCTACGTGATGGACGCCGACCACGTACGACGAACGGAATGACTTGAGACAGTGTCACATCTGCTCTCTGCTCCTCCTGTAGCTCCTGGAGCGAGAAGGCAGACAAGGTGTTCTGGCCCAGTGAGGGAAACCGATCTAGCTCTTGAGTCAACCAGGAGATTGCTCTCTGTTTTGAGCCTTGGTCCCACTCAGCGTGGCCTGCGAAGACTGCGGAAACTTCATCATTAGTCAGGGAACAACACCCTAGGCTCTCTGCAGGGGCCAAACACTCAACACTTTGGTGGTTGGCACTGAGCCTGAATGCATCCTGAACCGAGATTTCTTTGACCTGTCGCGACTCCTCTAACAGGGTTGCATAGGGTTCAGTCATGAGTCTCTGACTAACACGGTTGTGAACGAATGGCTGCCTGCTCAGTGCATCTGCAACGACATTTTTACTGCCAGGAATGTACTTGATGCTGAAGTCGTAGGGGGACAGCTTTGACACCCACCTCTGTTCACATGCATCAAGCTTGGGCTTCGTGAGAATATATGTTAGGGGGTTATTGTCTGTCCAGACGGTAAAGCTATGCCCCTTCAACCAGTGGCTGAATTTGTCACAGACAGACCACTTTAGCGCCAGAAACTCAAGGCGATGGGCGGGATAGTTTCTCTGTGCACGGGCGAGGGCCTTGCTGGCAAATGCAACGGGACGTGCTTTACTCTCGCCCTCTTGGACTTGTGACAGCACAGCACCCAAGCCGTCCTGTGAAGCGTCTGTCGACAAGATAAATGGTTTGTTGAAATCAGGGTGAGCAAGCACAACGGAGTCAAGGAGTGCAGCCTTCAAGTGTTCAAACGAGTCAACATGCTCCTTCTTCCAATCACTTGGGCTGAGCCTCCGGAAAGAAGCAGCACCTCGGGCATTTACTTTCTTTCCTTTAGGAGCGGCAGTCAGGGTAAAAAGGGGTCTGGCAATCTTAGAACAGTCCTGTATGAAGTGTTGGTAATACATTACCATACCCAGAAACGACTTTATCTTCTTCTGGGATGGCGTAACCCCGTCCTCCATCATGAGATCAGCCTCTGAGATAGCGGTGATCGCCTTAACCTTGTCAGGATCGGTCAAAACCCCACCTTCAGTCACAACATGGCCCAGAAATCTCACACTCCTTTGGAGCAGATGACATTTTTTGGGGGCCAGCTTCAGTCCATGGGCACGTAGTCTGCTAAACACAATCTCCAACCTCCTGAGAGCCTCTGCTTCATTGGGTGCATAAACAAGCAGGTCGTCCAGGTAGCACAGCAGGGTTAGGAAATTCTGGTCGCCAAATATGCCCATCATGAGACGCATGAAGCTCGCCGGACTGTTGCACAGGCCTTGGGGGAGTCTGTTAAACTCGTAGAGCCCCATTGGTGTTGTGAAGGCCGTTAGCTTTTTGTCCTCCTCTGCCATCTCAATATTGTAGAAGCCAGAGGTGAGATCCATGGCACTGAAAATTGCGTTACCTCCCAGGGCTGCCAGACAGTCTGACTGGTGGGGCAAGGGATGGGCATCCTTGACTGTGCGTGCGTTCAACCAGCGGTAGTCCACGCATATTCTGAGATCTCCATTCTTCTTCCACACCAGTACCAGTGGGGACGCCCACTCACTGTTGGATTTGCGGATCAGCTCTCGCTCCTCCATCTCTGTGAGCACCTGTCGCAACTTGTGGTACTGCCCTGGAGGGACGCGCCGATAGGGAAGTCTGAACGGCCTGTCGTCAGACAGATGGATGCGATGGACAAAATCCTTTGCCAGTCCACAGTCCAGCTTACCCTTGGAAAAGACATCCTCATACCTGTGGATCAGTTGCAGTACCTGAGCCTTCCAGTGGTCTGAGACTTCACAAGAGTCGAGGTCTAGGTCCTCCAACCCCATCTTCTGCAAGCTGTCACGCAGGCTAGGGCAGGAGGGAGGGCTACTCTGTGCGTCGCTACACACTGTCTGGCTCTGGACCCTAAGGGTCTCACTTGGGTTTTAGTCAGAAGCCACTTCGAGATCTTCAACAGCTACACAAGCGGAAGCATCTGCTACCTTAGCGTTTCGTCTCAATGTGATAGGCTTATCACATGTGTTCAGGATTCGAACAGGGACCCACCTATCGCCACTCATAGAAACCACAGTTCTACAGACAATGACACCTTTTTTATGAGTTTGCGATTTTGGTGGTTCAACCAGAATGGCGCTGCCCTCGGAAAGGGGTGATGACGCTGGCAGTCTGCCCCATACAAGGTGCTCTTGCTTGGGGAGTAGAGTCACTGCCTGAGCTAGTTTGACAGTGCCAATGACATCTGGCATTTTGTCACCCCTTCACCGGTTAATGCCAGACAGCATATTCAGAAACTGCACTATTTCAGGCGCTTCTGCTGATTCGGGTTTGCTCAGGACTTGCCAGAAATGGGGGGACAGCCTGAAGTGTCTGAGGAGGTGTTTGATAACATTTGTCCCTAAAATCAACTGATCTTTCTGACCGGGGACCACTAGGGCAGGCACTCTGAACGTACAATCATACACTTCCATTTTCAACTCGCATATACTCTTGGGTTTAACCTGAACTCCACCACAGCCCACTAGCACAATGTCGGTACGAGTGTCGCTTAATTCCAATGCGACCCCAGCGCTCTTTAACTCTCGCTCCGCCTCTTCGCTCAAGGTACACGCCATGGAACCTGTATCAAGAAGGGCCTGCAAAGAGACTTTGTCATTCACCAATGCATTCGTGTAAAATAGGCTGTCTGCCTCATCAAGTCTTACTATATTCTGGGAAAGTACAACAGTACCAGGTGGGGCACACTTCAGGCTTTCTTTGTATACAGTCTGTATGTCATCACTGGGATTGAGGGTTTCACACTCTTCGCTCACACTGTCCCCTCTCAAGTGCAAGCACCCTAGTTTCCCTGGGGATTATTTTGCTGGGTAATGGGCTCAGCTGCTCTGGGGCAGTCTTTCCTCTGATGCCCAACTTCCAGGCAACTTAGACATCTCCTCTCTCTCATGCAGTGAGTGCGTGTGGAATGTGAGCTATTGCCACAAACCTGGCACGAAGGGAACCTGGCTGAGGCTAGAGGCTGTGGTCTAATTACGGGGTGGACAGGCTGGTTGGAGCGCTCTAACACCCTCTCCAGCATACTGAGCACGCGGTCTAGAGCACTTGGGTCTGAAGCGGCAGCTCCAGCAGCCTTACCCGGGCTGTCCTGGGAACATTTTACTGTACCTACTTGGGCATGGTTCAGTTCAAACTCAGGCGACTCGCTTGTGGTTGTCGCAGTGGCCACGAGGAGGGGATGGGGTCTGGCAGAGCCCAGGCTCTTCTTTTTTGCATGACACTCTCTTTGGTGTTCATCAATGGCTTCCTGAACCTCCATTACTGTCCATTTACTCATGGGCTTACATTTGAAAACACAGGCGAGGCTGGGATCAGGACAATTTCTGATAAACATCATGGCTATCTCTGCCTCCATGTTCTCCATTTTGCCTCCCTGACGCTGTAAATGCTTGTCAGCTGCCTCAGCAGCGATATTAAGCCTCACCCAATAGTCTACTGGGGTCTCTTTTGCAACTGCTTGGGTGGCATAAAAGTCAGCCAGTGGTTGACAGGAGCCAGGACTATCACTAAAATAACGCCTGAGTATGGCATAGATGGTCTCAGGGTTGGTCACTACACCAGAACATGAGTTACTTTTCAAACCCACCTTAACAATGTTTTTAGCTCTGCCGAGGAGGTGGTTTAAGACTTCATCCACCTGCACGGCTCTAGAAAACCCTCTCTTCTCTAAGTACACTTCCATCATGTCTATCCACTCATGAACAGAGTACTTATCCGCATCATCACCTCTGTACATAGGTGGGTCTTTGATATCTTGTCGGACCACTAAGTTCACTTTGGAGAGGTCGAGAGTGGTGTCAGGGCTCTTAACTTTGGGGGACTCGGCTGGAGCTGTCTGGTTTGGACCAAGTGGGACTTGACTGGATAGTAGCCGGCTAGCGATTGATTCACCTATCTGGGTTCCCAATTCACCAATGAGCTCACGTAGCTCTTTGTGTGTGCTGTCGTCGCTCAAAGCAGGGGTTGAGGACTGGCGCTCATGAGCTTTATTTCGAATAATGTCATCTGACTCTGCTGGCTCATCACGCAACATTATAGACCTGTCTCTCACTTCATCTGCCCCAGACAGTCTCCAACCTCTCCCAGCGACTGGCGTGAAAAGGTTAAAGGAGTCTTGGCCCCTACCAGCCATGTTGCTTACAGGAGGTTAGCAATAACTACAAAGGGGATCAGAAACAAAAGGAATACAAAAATACCTATCACTCAGAAAAATACAACACAAGTAAACACGGCTCAGTTAGACTCTAACAGGTGTAACTGGGAGAAATGCCTACTAACAGAACACTGGAAATTTTTTGCTGACCCACAGAATAATTTTACTTATATTACAGGTGTCGGAAGTGTTCAGCTCAACCTCAGCGATCGGCAGCGGCTGATCAGATGCATCCGGGTCACGGCACCACTTTTATGTAGCAGATGTGAAATGGTCGACTGCGTTGTGACAACAGACACGGACTGGCTGGAAACAGGGTTTATTCCTATAAAACAGAGTGCAGCAGCAAAATCAGTGTCACACAGCGGCAGCAGGCTTCTCCTCACCCAGTGTGGAGTCCGTACAGCTCTGCTTGCATCATATAAAAGAAAATACAACTTATCAAAATAATAATTTTCACAACCGCCACTTCAAAATCAAATATTACAGTGGGGTAAAACAGAGACAATTATGGAATCACTAACAATAACGTATAACATTCAAATTCCCATTAAAATAGGTCAATTGCATAATACATATTCAAACAACTTTTTAACTCTTCCCAACATGGCTGAAGATACTGCTCAGAGCACAGCCTCGGGACATGAGCTCATTATACACATAAAACAAAAACTACACATTTACACATACCTATAAAACAGAGTGCAGCAGCAAAATCAGTGTCACACAGCGGCAGCAGGCTTCTCCTCACCCTGTTTAACACAAGTCAGTTCCACACAAACGGATGATACAACAGATAAAGCGCAGTTCCAAATATCATTTTTCTCACTCAAAGCGATTGAAAACACTTTGAGAGCTTTTAACCATAGGAGCCAATACTTAACAAAGACAAATACACCGAATTTATATGGATAATTTAGTACAGGGAGAAGAGCTACAGAAAGCGTGCCTCACCAGTGTGGAGTCCGTACAGCTCTGGCTAGGAAACCCCACACCCGCAATGTGGCCGCAGGTGGCGTTACACTGATTAATGTCCCACTTCAACAATAACACACGGAACCTTAGTTCCACAAAAATAAAGTTCACACAATAAAAAAGTATAACCTATGTACAATACAGTTTTGAGAATGTTCACAATTCGTACATTATATCTCAGCTACACCTGTAGCTGGAGGGGCGACTCATCTGGCCATGTTTTAGTGACCAGGAGTTTGTTTGGTATTGGTAAATGGATTCAAATGGATTCAAAAATCAAAGATCTATGTCTGATTTTTAAAATGACGGTTCCACTTCTGATTTTCAAATCCATTTCCTCACTGCATTTACCTTTCTTGTTAACTCAAGCTGTTATAAGCTAAAATATTAACAAAATAATTAGATAAACTACCAGATTATCTCGTAGATCAGCTAACAGATTACCTAGCAGATAAGATATCCCATTTCCCTGACTCTTCTGGTCCTTGGAAAAGTAACGCAAACTAGCCATGGTGTACGATGTAAGGAGCTGTGTGATTGTTTACACAGGCTGGCTGCCTTTTTTTACACCGCTATTTGTGCCGATAGCTTTGCACTGCTGAGACGTGTGTGCTTGTATAAAGGGCATTCAGTCTCTGTACATACACTCTGCCCAACATGGATATATGAAGAACATGAAAGGACTCTGCAGTGAAATGGAGCATTAGCCATGTTAGCCACAGACAAACCTGCAACGTACACTCCATTAGAATCCGAATCATCAGTTTGAGAATGGTAAATGGCCTGTATTTGTCCCTAAGGACCCCAGAGCGCTTTACACTACATTCAGTCATTCACCCATTCACACACACACTCACACACTGGTGTGAATGTGTTCACAAAAACTGAATCTGACACTTTACTCTTATTTATACAAAAAAAGAAGCATTTAAAGAAAATGGGCAGTATATATACATACTATATTTATAAGTAAGAAAAAAGTTACAGAAATTCTAAAGATACTGTACCAAGTACTAAGTGCAAAACTGAGTAGTGCAATAAGCATATGTGAGGAAGAAACTGTCTCTGGTGGCTGGTTTATTTATTTATTTTTTAAATGACATGTTTTGTTGAAAAAGGACATGTTTTAATAAAGTACACTGATATTATTTAGTCAAAAAATAATATTTTGTTTTTCAGTCAGATAACAAAAAGTGAACTCGGTGGCTTGACAGTGTATACATAACTTAACTTATTTACATTACATTCAATACATATTGTGAAGCAGAGGGTCAACCTGATATTGTGCAGTACATGGGAGATACAGCAATTCAGGACTGGTGTTACTTAAATTCAGGGTGGAGGGGGAGACAAAGCTAATCTATTTATTCCATATTTTGTCTTTTCGAATTTTTAATTATAATGTCATTTTTTTCCATTTTAAATATCTTAAAAACCACATTGAACTCAAGTGTTGGCGGAGTTGGATTTAGCCAATATCTGGTCATTGATTTTTTGCTGGCTGCTAATAGCGCTTGTAAGAGCTTTGTGTCCCCTCCCCAGACCAAACCAGCAACCAGGCCGAAGTACAAATTTGCAAAATTAATATTAAATGTTATCTTAAAGACATCGCACAGAGTTTTATGAATTCCCAGCCAATAGTTTTTTAAATTAGGGCAATCCCAAAAGATATGATAATGGTGTGCTTCTTCTGATACACATCTTCTCTAGTTTGATGAGGGGTTTTAAAAAATCTAATAATATTCTTCCAGCAGTGATCTCTCCAAGATAATGAACTTGTTGAGTACCAATGAAAATTACAAGTCCTCTCCCAGTTCTCGTCTGATATACCCATCCCTGATTCCAATTCCCATTTGGTCTTAATATTATGAGTAGTATCCTTCATTGCCTGAAGAAGCACATTATGTAGTTTGGAGATTGCCTTTCTCAGAGAGCCAAAATATGCTAATTTAACTATCTTAAAAATTCCTAACTCAACAGAGTTTGGGTTTGGGATATTGAATGTTTGTTAAAATAATGTTAGAACCTGAAGAAATCTGCTTGTCTTAGGCCATTTCTTGCTTGTAAAGATTGAAAGCTCTGTAGTGTCCCTTTATGTGTGAAGGAATGGAATGTTGTCCACTCTCTATCCAAGACTGAAATCTTATCGCTTTCATTTGGTTTAACATCTGTATCATAAGTGCACCAAGTGTTTTAGTATTGGTTCACTACCACATACTTTGTTCTGCTTTATTCTATTATTTCTCTCCCACTGAAAACGTCCAGATGAACAGAATCAGTTTTTGGAGATTTACTTACCTGGATGATAGAGCATGCATCAAGACCACTTTATTCCATATTTTTAGAGTATGGCTTATCCATGTTCCTTTACCTTCTAGTCGATCTGCTAGTTTTTTGTTCGCAGTTGAGGCTGGTAGTTGAAATTTAGAGGTTGTATTAAATTCTATAGATTTTGACTTAGCTTTCAAATCAGGGTTACACCATTGCAACAGGGGTATGACCTGAGATGCATAATAATAGTATTGTAAGCATGGGAGCATTGCCCCACCTTTTGCCTTGCTTAACTGTAAGATGAATACGAAATAAAGCTCGAAGTCCATTTGTCCAATTCCCCAAACTGTGTTTGACTTACTTCAACAGGTAAAGTTCTAAATAGAAATAGGAATCTGGGGACTACGTTCATTTTCACTGCTGATGTCCTTGAACTTAAATTTAAGAAAAACACCAGATTCCACCTATCTGAATTAGATTTCATGGCCTGTGACTAAGGACCATAATTTACCTGTGTTAGATTAGAAATGTTCTTAGTTAGAATTATTCCCAAATATTTGAGTGTTTCAGCTTCCTAATCTATGTTATAATTATCTCGTAAAGTTTTAGACGCTGTATACTTTAGTGTGATTACCTGTGTTTTGTTTAGGTTTAGTTTATAACCAGACAGTCCTCCGAAGTCGGATAGAGGACATCAACTCCTCAAATGATTTTTCAGGTTCCCTCAAAAAGACCAAAACGTCATCTGCGAACATTGCAACTTTTTGTTCTTCCCTGGCAATTGCGATACCTTTAATTTTAGTATTGTTTCTTATAAACTGACCAAGAGGCTCAATATAGAGTGCAAATAGAAGTGGTGAGACTGGACAGCCCTGCTTGGTCCCTCTTTCCAAAGTAAAAGATTGAGAGAGATCTCTGTTGACTTTCATGCAAGCCCTTGGTTTATCATAGAGGGATTGTATTATTGAGATGAATTTATTGTGAAAACCAAAAGTCTTCAAAACCGTATAAAGAAAAAGCCATCTGACTGAATCAAAGGCTTTCTCAGCGTCCAGTCCCACCAACACTGCCTGCACCCCATCTCTGTTTATTTGTTCCATAACATGTAGAGAGCACCTTATATCGGCCAGTGTTTGCCTTTGATGGATGAAACCACACTGGTCCAGGTCTATTATATCAGGAAGTCTCCGTGCCAAAATTACTGTGAATAGTTTATAATCCAAATTTAATACACTGATCGGCTGATAACTGTTACTTTCCATCCTATCTTTTACCCTCATTGGAGATAACTGCTTCCTTCCACGTAGGGGATAGTTTAGCCTTTTGCATAATCCAGTGAAATGTTTTCAGTAAAATAGGATCAAACAGTCTCTGTTTACGTAATTTATAGGCTAACACTCGATTTGCTTCCTAGAGAGTAATATTTCTGTTTTAAAAAAACAATTTCTTTTGAGTTTCTTGTGTATAGATTGTATCAATTTCACCCTGTATTTCTTTTCTTTCTTTCTTTCTTTTAAATCTCAGAATTACCTTTGTATCCATCTTCTCGTTGTAGTTGTTTTAACTTTGCCTGAAGGTTGACTAATTTTTGCAGGTTTATCTTTTTCAGATGAGAGGTCATTGCAGCACAGCAAGAAGGTCCTGAGTTCAGTTTCACCATCAGGCCGAGGTCTTTCTGTGTGGAGTTTGCATGTTCTCCCCGTGCTTGCGTGGGTTCTCTCCGGGTACTCCGGCTTCTTCCCACAGTCCAAAGACATGCAGTTTGTGGGGATAGGTTAATTGATTATTCCAAATTGCCTATAGGTTTGAATGTGAGTGCGAATAGTTGTCTGTCACTGTGTGTTAGCCCTGCGACAGACTGGTGACCTGTCCAGGGTGTACCCTGCCTCTTGCCCTATGATAGGCTCCAGTGCCCCCAACAATGAGATGGGGCTATGATCTGAAAGATCTATCGTTTTAATTTTACATTGCCTTACTCTGGCACAATCACTGCTAAACATAAAACATAGTCTATTCTACTGTAGAATAAGTCCTACGGGGACAGGAGTAGCGGGTTTTGTCAGGGTTCGTGGGTTGTTTTCCCAGTATTTTCAGTTCATTCATGTTCAGTCAATTTTTTACTTGTTCTCTGTCATGTTCGGAGGCAATAAGACGCAGGGTTCTCAAGCACGAACCACTTTTTATTCAATTGTAGCAGCAGTGTACGTGGCTACATCAATTTCTGGAAAACACATATACACACCGGTCTCCTAGCGACCTCTAGTGGCTGCCCTCATGGTAGCCTTACTAGGACAACATAAACAGATTTCACAACATCTCCCCCTTTAACAAAAGTACTTTAAACATAAAACAGTGTTATCAGAACGCAGGACATCACAGGGGTAGACTACCCTCAGTCCTGATAAGGGATTATTCTGCCCTTAGAACAAAGAAAGGAGATAGTCCTCAGTCTCTGAATCTGAGAGGTACTTTAATCTCCCGCCCCCTGGAAGTCACTCTCACAGGTGTGGTAGGGTGGAGAGGAGACCCCGGGACAGGGATTGGCAATGTCTGCCTTACTGGTGGTTCTTGGGAAGCGGCCGCCCCTTTAGTTGGAGTAGTCGGTGTAGCTGGAACAGTGCTCTGCTGCTGCTCCTCAGGATCAGCGGTGCCTGGGACAGGCTGTAGGTGTCGTCTGTTGCGGCGAGTCACGTTCCCATTTGCCATCTCCACCAAGTAGGATCTCGGCTCCTTAGACTTACTGATGACCTTGGCTGGAGTCGTCCACCCCTTTTCCCCGTCAAGCTTCACTACAACATCCTGGCCTGGGAGAAGCTCAGGAAGTGGACGAGCTGAATGTCTGCGGTTGTAGAAGAATCTGTAAGAGTCCTTAGCTGCAGCATCTCTTT